AAAGCAGGGGTGTGGAATATGCTTGTTGCTGGTGGGAAACTAGGGGTGTAAGAATCCTGCCGCAGCCTTCTCACTGAGCTAGAGAAGAAGTGGCTCAACCAACAGACAGTCCAGGTTGAGTTGGTGAAAGAAGGAGACAACCAACAAATGTCCCTTAGAGAAGCAGATTTGGTAAGAAGACTTTGCAGAAGACTGGGCATGGACTCCAGAGTGCATTCTAAATTGTACTGCTAATGGGTCTGGATGTTTTTCTGGACTGAGCAGTTCAGTCTGGGAAATATTACATGGAGAAACAGGGTGAATTCAGGAGCACAAGTTCTCCGAAGACAGAATGATATCTCTAAAATAGATGATAGAAAGGGACCTCAGAAACCAGAGAACTTAAAACAGTAGATTTCAAGAGAAAACAGAACCCCAAGGAGAAAGGAGGGTCAGGAAGTGGATCACATCCTTTGAGCCTGGAGGTTTTCCTTGGGTGTTGGGAATCCTATTATGTTCACTGTTCTAAACTCTCAGGGTTCTGGTGCTCTCCAGCATGAATGCATTTGTGCAGCTCTGGGAAATGGCACTGCCACAGCCTGAGACAGCAACAGAAGTGATTTATCAGACAAGACTCTGAAAACAGCCCTATATTTTTGATATCATAATTCCCATTTTACAAGTAAGCAAACTGAGGTACAAGAAGGTCATAATGTATTCAGTTCCAGAATTTATCATTTTTATCACTGTTTACCAAGTGTGTGATAAAATTCTCATCCTTTTTCCAAATACAACAAAAGAAGAATTGCTTTAAAAGAGAGGAAAACACTGACTCTAGAGCGGTCCACAAGCAAGCAGATTGATTCCTGTTGTGAAGATCAAAGAAGCCTCCTTGGAAAGAACATAGAAACCAAGGCTTGAGGAATTAGATGATGATTTTCAAGTCAGTTGCCAAGTCTTTATCTCATCCACACTGAGCTATGAAGTAGCCAGTCCAATGTGTTTTGGAATCGGGTGGCATATTAATTATAATTATGGTTCCAAGCATGCAAACCGAAACTGGGGCTCATTCCAGTTTGATTCACAAAGTAGATCAAGTCCTACTCTAAACAAGACATTTCCGAACATCTGATTTTTAAAAAGTGACCCCAAAAAGACTACATTTGATCTAAATACTGTTCCCTGCCACTGTCTTTTCAAATGTGTTAGTGAGCCTCATAGTTCTCAGCTGAATTTAGTGATCCTATCAGACCTGACAGGAGCAGATTTGAACCAAAATCTGTACACATAAAGCAGCTGAAAGCTTATTTGAAGAACAAATTCAGCTTTGAAAGAACATGATGAGAAGAAAAAAAAAATACAGTATCAGGACTAATGAAGGACATTTGTCTTTTGTAAAATGCCAAAGTCATTTTCAGAACAGTGTTTTCACATTGTGTTTCAAGCAGATTACTTTAAAGAACAAAAACAAGGGTCAAAATGCAATCATAACACATGAAGGAGAAAGCATGGCAAACCAGGTTGAAGGAAAACATCGTGCTTGTAACAATCAACAGATCACGTGTCTGACAGGCAGGCCAGTCAATAGCTTTCATAGTCCCCAGTGAGGCTCTCAAATCTCCATGACACTTTTCAGATTATAAAAAAAATTTGACTCGCTTTTATTGTGTTTTCAGTTATAGAAATGCAGTACTTACAGATCAACTGACACGACGGTGGAATTTACTTCAAAATAACTCAGTAAGGAGAATGAAAGTAGAAGGAAGACATGAAACAGGACTGTGAGTTGCTGTCTGATCTAACTGGAGGAGTTGGGAGTGAGAGGATGTGGAGACCTCACCTTAGTAGATGTGAAAATATTCCACGATAAGACATTTAAATAAAATATTGTTATTTCACAACTATTAGGAAATGCTAAAATATGATACATTGATGTATTATTGCCAAATTACTTTTACTTTATGAAAAGATGTATAAACACTTTCAAAAAAAGAAAAGCAGTATCACTTAGTGGTGCACATCCAAGTATTCTGTGTTGGACTCACTTATGTAGGACCTCTTGATGTCTACCTGTGCAGCCTGTGACTTTTCTTCTGACTCTGCAGTATAGGTATTCCTGAAGAACGGAGAAGCAGGCTTTCCAGATAATAGCTCAGAGCTGCAATCAATAACTCATCTGTGCAATCATGTGTCTGAGAAAGAAAGTGTGCCAGCTGGAGCAGAGATGCCTCAAAAAGTGCCACGACTGCTCTCCACACTACAACTGCAAATATCTGAGACTCAGTGAACATGCAACTTTTTTCTTTAACTAAGGGGAAAGAATTTAGAAGTTAATTTTATAACTTATCAGAATTAATAGTTATCACAGAATTTAAAATAGCTGCTATATCAGTGTATGCCATACATAGATACTGTGCTAAGAACATCACATCCATAACCTCATTTATATTCTGATTCATTCATTCACTCATTCATTCACAAAATACTTAGTGACAGTAATGAGTCAAACATCATACCAGGCTGTGAGGACACAATGATTTAGCACCAGAGAAAAATTCAGACATTAATTACTCACCCAAATACATCACTACCAGTGGTATTAAAAGCTGTGGGGGAAAAGCATAGATGTTAACCACAGAATTGCATCTCATCTGGGGAGGGAACTGGGGAGAATTTTGTGAGAAGATAATGTGACAACTGAAACATGCAGAATAAATGATATTAAAGCAGATTTTAAAAAGAAAGGAAAATAGCATCCCAGATAGAAAGAACAGTATATGCAAATGTCCTGAGCCTGGAGACAGCATGGTGAATTTAAGGAACTGGACAAAGGTTAGTCTGGGTTTCCCCAGGATATCCCTATGGCCCAAACTGTCACTGCAGGACAGAGTGTGGGCCTTTTATTTCTCAGGCCTCAAAAGAAACTCTAGATTTGTTCACTCTGAGGACCCATGGAATGACTTTTGTTATTAGATCCAGGTGCAGATAATTCATTTTCAAGTGATTCTCAGGTATCAGGTACAGAGGCTAGTGAAAACCAGGGAAAGTTTACAGCTCCTGGGCAGAGGACAGAGCAGTAGAAATTGAACAATGCATGTGAACGTGAGAAGTTAGGAAGCCACAGGGCTTGCCAATGAGTCAGATACTGCCTGTTGGCATGAAAGAGGTGCCAAGAGAGAGTCACAGCTCTGCGCACCCTGCCACCCTACCACCCTCATCAGACCCCTCCAGACTTCTGCCAGTGAGCAGGGGTGGGCCACCTCCACGCCCTGCCATCCTTCCCTCAGAGACTCCCCTACCTCCTGGACCTAGTATTGCTGTTTATCTTCAGCTCCCACTCCTCCTCCCAGAACTTTAGACTGATGTGGATTAACCATGCTGGGTTGATGGGAGACTCAATAACCCCTCATCCAAACAGAAGACCTCAGTAGGCTTCCACCAGTGTGGTGAGTTTGTCCCTAAAATAGAAGACTTCAGTGGGTAAACAGGAGCAGTAGCAAATTCCCCTCCAGCTATAGGAGCTTGACAAGCTTGGCAAGAGTGTGGATGAGTGCTTCCTCCACATAGAGAACATCAGGTAAGTTGAGGAGTGTGCCAATAAGGCCTCCCCCAACCCTGGAGAAAATCAAAAGGGCTTATGAGTCACCCAGTGACATACTAGAGTCCTAGCTGAGACAAACACTATAGACAGTGAGATCTGGTGACCTAAAACAACATAGGTTGTTCTAACCTATGTTCTAATATCTAACATAGATGGCCTTGATACACTAAGAAAAAAAAAAAGAAAAAAAGAAACACAGGCAGAGTAGATCAGGAGGTAGGGTCCACCAAGATGTTCTGTATAGGAAATATAATTAACCTGAAAAAGAGTTTACGGACCAAAAATCAAATATGAGAAAACAATGCTCTCTGTGACAGGGAACCAGAAAGAAATACGGGCAACTCAACGAACACCTGCAGATAGGTTGGAAAGACAGGATACTTATGTGCAATAGAGAACTACTTAGCTATAATGAAGGAAAACCTTGAGGTTTTTGCAGGTAAAGGAATACAACTTGAGATCAAGTCCAGGAGTGAGAAGGTTCAGAACCTCTTAGGTAAATAGCAGGTTGCCCTCCCCAATCTAAAAACTGAGGGAGTTGGTGGGATCCAAAATGTACAGTGCACCCTGTGGGAGTGAAAGGGGAGGAATGGCTGGAAAAAAGAAGGCAGAGGATATTGTTAATAGTGTATCAGGACTTAAAACTGACATTACTCACACTGCTCTGTTTAGATGGATTGTATTCTGTTCCAGTTTGTCTACTTGTACTAGATTTGAAGGCACAGACAGCTATCCCCAAAATAGCAGGATATAGTATGGTAAACATCCTTAATGTCCTATTAACTTAATCTGAAACCCTGTATAACTCATACTGTTTTATCATGACTGATCTTAGTTGAATCTGATTTGTTAGATTGCTGTTTTATACTGACAGATTTTATTCAAATCTGTTATGATTGATAGTATCAAGTCTGAGAGTGTAGGCAACTACACTGAAGATGACAAGATTCACTAGGACACCCACTCTGGTTTGATTATTATCTGCTTTTAAAGTTTTACATTGTTTACAATGTTTTGTTTTTATTAATATTGTTGTGTACTGCTATATTCAATTATATTATGCCTGATGATATAGACAATTCTATTGAAAATAACAAGAGACAACACAGTAACCATTGTAGAACACCTTGTACTGTGGTTTTATATGACCTTTCACTTCATGTTTTTATTGGAATTTGTTTTGTTTTGTCTTCCTTTTTTTGTTTTTCCTCTAATGCAGCAAGGATAGAAATACATGTAGAGACTCATCCATGTGTAGAAACTATAAACAGTCTATGAGAACTGACCATATGACACATGATGAAATGAACAACTACTTTAAAGAAAAAGAGACACTATAGTACCCAGTGCTCATTCTGTAGCATCATGATGTGAAATCCAGCAATATTATTATTGTTTGTACAGAGTGATTTTAGCCTGTTTTGTTTTGTTTAATTTCAACATACATGAAGTTATGGACAGCTATTTTGAAGAGAAGAGACACTATGACAGCCATTGTTGACTTCCCTATTGTCTGATCTTGAGGACCTAGAACATCTTCGTCATCTTGTTCAGATCAGTTCTGTACTATGTTGCTTCATGTGAATTCTCTCTGTGTGACGATATGGACAACTATTTGGAAGAAAACAAGAGACAGTATGATAGGCAGTGAAGATCTCTGATTGTCTTGCTTTGAAATTTATGTCTCTTATATTGCTTTCATATGTTCTGTTTTGTTGTGTTTAATTTTGCCCTCTTTAAAATAAAAAAAAAGAAAAAGAAATTGACAGAATGGAACAGGAAATGGGATCCCACAATATCCTATATACAAGAAACACATCTGAAAGGAAACTGATAGATTAAAAGTCAAAGGATGGAAAATAAAAGCAAAAGGAACCCAGAAAAAAGCAGAGGGCAGATGTGAACTTCAAGCCTAAAATTATTAAAAGAGATAAAGAAGGCCACTACATATTAGTTACTGGAAAAATTCAAGAAGAACTAACAATTATAAATATATATGCAACAAATACAGGAGCACCCGGCTACATAAGACAAATACATTAGTATAAAACTTCAAAAGCATATCTCATATTTTTATCTCATACTTTTAAATTTTATGCACTTCAAAAGAAATCATCAATAAAGTGAAAAGAAAACCCAAAGAATGGGAAAGAATTTTGGCCAGCAACCCCTCAGGCAAAGGACTTCTATCCAGAACATATAAAGAATTGAAAAACATCAAGCCCCCCAAATTCAAAGAGCCTCTCCAAAAATGGGCATCTGAAATGAACACACATTTCTCAGATGAAGATATACAAATGGAAAATAAATACATGAAGAAATGTTCACCATCACTGGTCATTCAAGAAATACATATTAAAACAGCACTGTGGGGCTGGGGATTTAGCTCAGCGGCATAAGCGCCTGCCTTGCAAGCAGGCAGTTGTGAGTTCGATCCCTGGTACCGATAAAAAGGAAAAAGACAAAAAAAAAAACCAGTGCTGAGATTCCATCTCACTCCAGATAGAATGGCTGCCATCAAGAAAGCAAATGATAACAAATGTTAGCAAAGTTGTGGGGAAAATGAAAGACTTCTCCACTGTTGATGGGAGTACAAACTGGTACAGCCACTATGGAAATCAGTATGAAGAATTCTCAGACAACTAGGATTGGGAGTCCCTTTCAATCCAGCTATCCCCCTCCTGTGTATTTTCCCAGAAAAATTGAAAAGGTCATGTCACAGCATTGTATGTACACCCAGTTTTATAGCAGCACAATTTGTAATAGCTAAATCTTGAAAATAACCAAGACACCCATCAACTGCAGAGTGCGTGAAAAAGGTGTGGTATTTTTATACAATGGAATATCACACAGCTATAAAAAGGACAATTTTGAGACTATTATGGATAAGTGAAGACAACTTGAGACTATCCTCATAAGTGAAATAAATCAGACTCATATTTGTAAATATCATATTGTCTCTCTAGTGTAAAAAGTAACAAAAACTGAAGACGTAATAAGATCCAAAAATGTACAATAGATATTGTAAAAATGAAAGAGAAGGAAAGTGCTCTAAAGGACATAACTGTATATATGTTTAAGAGATTGTAAGACAGATAATCATACTAAGTTTTTGTTGGATCATCGAAAAAAATGGTTTTCACTGTCATTATTTGATTGCCTGTCCACTTTCTGTGCTCTGATTTTGTAACTTGAATAACTATTTCTAAGATAACAATATGTAATTTATCAACTAATGATTTCTTAGTGTTATTTTGTATTATTTCTAGCCTTTTTTCTGTATTTTTTTCTCTAAATTAAAAAAAAAGAACTCAAAAAAGAGAGAGAGAGAGAGAGTACCAGCTGCTGACTTTCAGATCTGCTAGATGATAGTGTGACTTTCAAAGACAGAGAACAGCACAAGAGGGTCAGGTATATGGAGGAAAATGTGGTGCCATTATTTAGATGTGTTAAACTTTATATGCCTTCTAGGTTATCAAGTAGGTTCGGTAAATGTACATGTAATGAATGAATAAATTTGCTCATCCAATGCTGAAAGTTGGGCAGTTCAGTAGAAGCACTTATATTTGGAGGGGGGGGCATGGGTACCTCTGTGAGTATATTTGAAAACTCTATTTCTAGAGTTTCATATTAACTCCAGGTCAATTCACAGAACTCTTGTGGATATTTAGAATGGCTGGTGCCTTTGCTGTAACAAACAGCAAACACGTCTCCTTTGTTTGAATCTGTGACTCTCTCTACAAAACATAAATGGCAGACTTAATGAGCAGCTTGAATTGCCTTTCTTGCTTCCTTGTGTGCAAACACAGCATAATCTCAAAAACTAAGTGAATGGTATAATTGCTTTTTTATCAATAATAAGTAACTGAAGACTCATCAAATGGGAGAGATTCATTATTCTTCTTAGATAAGCTATCCTGCGCTGTCAGTATTGGTTAACTGGCTTGCTTGCTTGATTTCCATGCCTGGTGACATGGACACACCACCAGTCTCAATATCAACGTTGAGAGATGACCCTGCTGTCTTATTCTCGGGATAGTCTGAGCCATTCCTGCACCCAAGGACCTGGGTGCTTTAACTTGGCTTCTGGACTTAGAGAGAGTATATGGGTCCTATCTATGCTTCTCTGTATCATGAGCTGAGCATTCTTTTGAATCAGAGAAGGCCTTACCTTGCCCACACCTTGCTGCATTTCCCAGTCATCCATAAGCAGTCCATTCCATTCACAGTGATTTCAAATAACCCAAGCATATGAGAATGTGTGGCCATCTGTTTGGTGGATCAGAACTGGCTGACTGCCAGGGATCTGTCTCAGTTAAGGTTCACTAGAGAGACAAATTAAATAGGAAAGACCAACATTAATAGGAAAAAGGATCATATATGTACATGTATATATATATATATATATATATATATATATGTACATGTATATATATATATATATACTTTTTTTTACTAAGTAAACTTAAAATGTCCACCTGTAAAATGGCCATCTTCATGCTGAAGAGCTGGAGGATCCATCGAAAGTCGAAGGCCTGATGCTCACTGCAGAGTCCAGTGCGAGTTCGTGTCAGAGATGGAAAGGATCTGTGCTGGAAGCCTGAAGAAACTGGAGATGAACAGCCAAAAGTGATGGCAAAGACCAGAGCTCCTCTGAAGAAGCAACAGGGAGTAAGACTTCCTTCACCTTTTCCTTTATTCTCTGGCTAGGCTGTAAGCCTGTTAGTTGTAAGCTGTAAGCCACATCTGAGCTGGGTATTCTCACTTCGGTTGTCTACATGTCAATCAGTCACCTACAGACACACCAAGGGTCTTACTAATCCATTAGGCATTTCTTAATCTGTTCAAACTACCATCACAATTGGCTCTCATAGGTCACTGTTTGTCAACATGACAAGCAGACACATTTCCTTAAATGATACTTGACTTCAAATACAACAGAAATTTCATAATTATTTCTAAAATGATACAATTTTCTTGCATACAAACAGAAAGGTACTAATTCTCTCCCCAGAACAGAAGGCAAAGATTCTCTGTGTGTTACTCTTCTAACATTTCATAACTTAAAAAATTATAATGTAGATTAAACAATAATTAAGAGCCAACATTATCTATCAACAGGTTCAACAAAGATACCTGCTTATATGTGTACACATATTCACAAACAGAGTAACAAAATACAAAAGAAAAAGTACAACTAAAATCTTTATTTCTATAATAGGTCGCATGATCTTAGCTACTAATTATTCTTATATTCCCTTGAATTTCCACAAGCACCTCATCAGATCTTGAATCTTTACCAGATAAGGTGACTTACACCTTCGTTCCTGAAAGTTCTGGGCCATTTGTTATCCTGCCTGAATTGCAGTTGTAGTTTCCTATTAATCTTAATATCAGAGCATGGAAATACTGAGTCACCCTAAGGAATGTTCTGCCCTCCAAATATATTCTTCCTTTCCTCCATGATGCAGTAATAGTCCAATTTTCCCCTTGGTGGTCTGGATCAATCACCTTTACAAACACAGTAAGTTCCTTTTTAATTTGTTTACAGAGACAGGAGGGTCCTCAAATGACCAAGGGAAAGACTGAGCCAACATGGAATCATTGTTGTGTTTCTTGGTATAAGCTTTTCCCAAATCTGAAACTAAGACTTCTTGGCCAGCTAAGCATAACGTCACAGGAATAAAAAGCAAAACTTTTGCTGTGACTCACTAGGGTGAATAGTGAGCGGTGACATTCCCACTTCCACCCCTTGATTCCTGCACCCATGAATTCTGGCTATGGGAGAAACCATACCATATAGTAGAGACTGATTCAAAGCATATACTGTCTTCTAGAGAACTTTGCCTTGGTTCTGCAAGATATTGCCACCTAGCTGGCACTGAACTGAATCTCAAGAGATCATTCTGTCTATCCATCCAGCTGCTTCTGGTTGGTAAAGACATGATAAGACGAGCGAGTTTCATGAGGATTATGCACAACAAAGGCAAATCAATGCCTGGAGCAAGGCCTGTCCTAGTAAAGACAAAGTACTACCCTTTCCATGATGAGAGCAGCCCAGTATAATAAACCTGTTATCGGGTCACAGACTGATTGCCCCAGGGGGGCATGTCAGGGACTCAATGTTGGTCTCTGTTGCTGGCAAGGCTCTAGTCAGATGAGCTTTGTTGAGCAAAAATTCATTTTTCTGATCCCAAATTACATAACCTCTCTCCTCATCACCACGTTGGTCACTTTGATCATGAGCCCACTGGGCAATGACAGTGGGGGATGAAGGAAAAGACTGACTGCCAGCCACAGAACAGGCAGCCTTATCTATCAATTATTAAAGTCCTTTTCTGTGGAGAGCCCATTTTGGTGAACATTTATATGAGACCCAAATATTTTTACATTCTTCACCTACATGGAGAGATACACATCTCTTCTCCAAATACCTTTGTGACCAGTATCCCAGTCATGTTCCTTCCAAGTGCCTGAACATTTGTTCAGACCAATGGGTATATAATCACATATCTGGCCAATTTTTTTCTTCCAAAAATATATGACCTGGTGCACTGCCTAAAGTTCTTCCCAATGTAATGATTTCTCTTCACAAAATGCAAAAACTTATCCTTCACCTTAGAGATCTATCCCTGGATGCACCACACCACTGCACCCCTAGAAATTTCACTGAGATAGACTGACCTGGAATTTTATGTTGATTTATTTCACACCCTCTAGCCTGAAAAGACTTTACCAAGTACAGATTGGTTGTTACCTCCTGATTTCTTGATCCAATCAGCATAGTATAAATGTAATGAACCAATGTGATACATTGTAGAAGAGGATGATCAAGACTCTTGCAAACTAAGTTGTGACACAGGACTGGAAATATTAACAATGTAACCCTGAGGTAAGACCATGAAGGTGTTTTGCTGACCTTGTCAGCTGAAAATAAATTGTTTCTGGTGGGCCTTATGGATAGGTATGGAGACAAAGTCACTTGCCAAATCTATAGCTGCATACCAGGTACCAGGAAATGTGTTAATCTGCTGAAGCAAAAAAATAACATCTGGCATAGCAGCTGCAATTAGAGTCACCACTTGATTAAGCTTACAGCAGTTCACCATCATTCTCCAAGAGCCATCTGCTCCTGCACAGGCCAAATAGGAGAGTAAATTGGGAACATAGTGGTAACCACCACCTCTGAATCCTTTAGGTGCTTAATATTGTACTAATCTGTGCAATTATTACCTCTAATTTTGCAATTTTGGTTTTGATTTGCTATTTTCTCAGGTAGAGGCTACTCTGATGGTTTCTGTGTGGGCTTTCCAACCATAATATCCCTTGTATTACAAATTAGGGACCAATGTGAGAATTTGGCTAATTTTACTAAGTGTTTCTATGCCAATTGTATATTCTGGGACTTGAAAAATGATTCTCAGACCTAAGGGACCCACTGTGAGTCGGATCTTGGCTAGAACTTGATTAAATACCTGATCTACATAGTCCCTTACTCTTATTAGAAGGCCTTCATGTCATTTTGGATCTCCGGGAATCAACATTAGTTCAACCAGTGTCCCGTAGTCCTCCAAATATCTGATCATTTCCTTTTCCCAATGTACATTTACCCTGGTAAAAGGCCTTAGGTCCTTTTATGGAAAGATGGGAGAAAGTTTTATCACATAACCTTTTGGTAGTGTACCAGGGTCCTTCTTCAAGGGGACCCAGACTCGCTCTCATTCAAAGGGTTCTGGGTTTGTAAACTGGTTCAAATATGAGAATTGGTTGAGGGACCGTAACCCTCTGTTGCTACAACTTAAAGTGGATTTCTGTTCTTTGGTCCTGCTTATGTAAGTCCAGGAAAAATTTAGTAGGCTTTCTGCTTATTTCTCTTTGGGAAACACTATAACTAATCAGTCAACATCATAGGTCTATACAGGTCAGACCATTTTGATTATTGCTTTGCTTCTTTTGTCCATTACTGTAAATATACACACCTTTGTCTTTGGTGGTTGAGTGCTGCCACATGACCCCTATTACTCCAGGATCCAATAAAATCCATCACCTTTAAATTTAGTTATTGAGTGACTATAGTCCATACCATAAAGTCTAACATACAGAGATAAGCAACGACAAGGGTCTTCAAGGATTCTGGTGCTCCCCTCCCAAATCTGTTTCATAAGGTATTAGTGCAGGATTCATTATCTAGAACCCCCCAGTGGGTTTATCCTGGAAAATCCCCTCCAGCATTTCCAATTCCCTCATCAACAGTAAACCAAGAATATCAGATATCTCTAACAGTGGGTCATCTTTTGATCTATACTTCTTGAAAACAGCCAAATAAACTATTTATACTTGTTTTAAATGCCAGACACTGCAACATTAAATTCAGGATCTCTACTTTAAGGACCCATGTCAGGAAACTTAACCTGGTCCAGGTTTATGTTTGTGCTATCATTATCCCAGACCCTTAAAATCCTTTCAAATGCTTGTTCACCAGACTTCTGTTTATAAGAGTTAAAAATTCTTTGAGAACATAACAGACATCCTTATGAATCAAGCTGTGTACCTCATCTTTAGAATTCTTCTGAGATTTGGGCTTGGTTGAAGGCCTAGAGATAAAAATGGATGAGGGTGGGTTCTGAGGAGTGTCAGCAATGCAGGACTGTTTTCTTTAGACTCGGGAGCAGAGGTCAACACTATGAGGGGAATGCCTCCACCACTAAGGGTGGGGAAATCTCTTCCTTTGTAAAAATAACCTCATTAGTATTTAAGAGCTCATTGTTCCCAGCCTATCAGAATCCTCCTAAATATCTCCATTTCAGTTTTGGGGGTCTCATTCCTTGCCAGTCAGGGTCCTCGTTTTCATTTCAGAAACCCTTCCAAGCTGTATTTTAACTGATCAAATTAGGAAGGCTTGTGTTTGGATTTCTGCAATGTCAGCCCTGCTGATAAAAGAAAGAGCATTCTCTTTCAGGGAACACTGAGAAATCTTTAGATTATTTATGTGTATCAGGAGCTGAGAATTTTAATCTTTTATCTTGTTATTTTCCTATATTAATTTTTCTTTATACTTATAAGTCTTTAAATTTAAATTATGCATGTCTGGAGATCATGATTTTCATTTACTAGTTCATTCGTAGATGCTAAGAGCAATTAGCCAGCATCATTATATTTTCCACACTTCAAAAAAATTCAAAGGCATTGTATATTGTCTTAGTTACTTTTCTCATTGTTGAGACAAAATATCCAGCATTCAAAATTAAAAGAGAAAAGGTTTATTTAGCTCACAGATTATAGAGGTTTCAGTTCATATTTTCACCCCAAGGCAGGGTGCATGGAAGAGAGGCAACCATCTATGGCAGTGAAAGATACTAAAAACAACAAGAAAAGAGGAGCTAACAAGCATCTTTCCCTCCCTTATATTGTATATAAACTACCCACCCTAGAGGACTGGTATAGCACTCACTCTTAATCCCAGCATTGAACCATGAACCAATCACAAATTCTAGATTTAGTCACCTTCCAAAAGATAGTCCCTCATGATTGCATGAGGCTTTGGGGGAATATCTAGACACAAACTATTGTAGTCAGGGGTTGTGAGGAGAATAATTAGAATCAGGACATGGAATTTATAATATTATTTTTATGATGGTCACCCAGAGTGACAAGAAAATGCAGGAAATCTATCCACAACAC